GTCGGATTAGACATTTCCGGAGCTACCAACAGAGTGTTTATCCATCCCATAAAGCATTTTGGCTTATCACTATCTAGCCCAATTTTCGTCCTTCTAGCAGTCGACAACATCTGCGGTGCCCGTAGATTTAGGGATGATGCACTTCAGGGGAGAACAGTAGCGTTCCTGTAATGTTTGTCTCCAGCCTGTTTCGCTTCAACCAGTAACTGGCGGTTGTTTCTTTTTTGGGGCTTTACCCAGCCTTGACTAGTTTGGATATCGCTCCGGAGGAGTCAAGTGTACTTGCTTGATCAGAGTGGCACTACGCAACAGGCAGCGCTACAGTAGTTGGTGCCATTTAAATATTTAGTGAGGAGACAGTTTAATACCATAGTTTTTAGGAGGCAAGGATACCAGTGTTAAGGTCGATAACCTAGGTTTCGGGCCCAACTACTCTCCAGAAATCGGAGACTGCTTGTACACGAAATGCGTAGGCACACTAAACAACAACTGGCATTTTTTGTGCGCTGTTGAATGGATGCGAACGTGTATCCTGCTCGATCGATGTGTAGTCCTTACTGGTGGCGTTATGCGTTCTGTATACTATAAACTGATATTGGCGCATGGAATTCTGTTTTTAGATGTGATGTCATGATTCGGAGAAGATGACAGAAGAGTCAATGCCAGTTACCACCGAGACAATTTGCGCGCGTTGCATGAAAATAAAATGAGGCGCAAATTCCTTGAAACACTAGAGGTGAATCAATATGCTTGCATGGTATTGCAAACACATCCCAAGAAATACAAACTAACAGTTTTTGCAGTTCTTGAAGAACTGAGCAGCCGCGCAGTGTCTGATAAGTTCAACGGCCCAAAAAGTGCATTTGGGAAGACTTCGTGCTTTACAAGCACCTGCTCAACCTCTACTATATTTCGCCTTGAATGATACAAGAAAGCTAGGTGGGATTTGAGGCCTTGACCTTTTTGCTATTCTCTTACAGCCACTCTTACTAATCGTAGATCATTCTGCACGATTATATGCAAATAAAATCAAGATGTCTCTTCTTTAAAAATTTCAGTTTGGCGCAGCATTGTCAGTTTTTCCTTGCATTTTGACTGTGCGCCTGCTGCTTGACCTCAAGTCATCTGACTGCCCCTTAGAGAATTCCAAATCATCCGGTTCAAAATGAACTGCACCTGCAAAGATGTGCACTTGCAGAAACTGCAAGCTCGATGAAGCAGATTCTCTTTGATGGGTCTGATGGCTGGAGTTATATTGCTGGCTGAAGTATAAAATGCTGAAGGACCCAGCCTGATGGCCCCTCGGTAACACCATAAATTAGCCTTGCAGACTCGGTGTTAAAAAGAACGAACTGCGGGCATCAAAACGCATTGTCAGGCACCAATAATAGCTTGGGCCAAAAAGCAGCGCAGAGCCCCCAGACTCGGATGGTTGTGGGTCTTGGCCGCTTCCTTAAAAGGGATCTCTTTAAATCCTAAAATTGTGCTCCCAGTGGTGTGACTTCAGAAATGACCACTCAGGTGCTTGTAGATACGTTATTGACTTGCTCACAATAGCAAGCCCGCAACAAGTGACAGGGTAACAGCTAACAAGGATAGGCAAGTTGGCGTAGAAACAGCTTTGCTCTCTTGAAACCATCCCTGGAAGGTGCTGGCGTTGACTTCTGCCTGATCTGACATGTTTGTAAATCCCAAGCTATCAGCAATGAGCACTTGTAGAGGAAAACCCTGCACTAGGAAAACGTTCCCGTCGTTATGCATGTTGCCTTCGACATTTTGGAGCTCGCGGAAGTTCCCGTCTTTTTCTTTAACCGACTTCAGAGTCTTGGGATTTAACATTTTGTAGAACCTTAGCATGGTATCTGTAGCGACGGGCAAAGGCTGGCGGGCGACATACCACCTGACATTCTCTTCACATCCAGGCATAGTGTGGCTCCCGTCGTAAGCAAAGAATTCCTGATTTGTCAGTTGTAACATCATCATCAGGGACTGCAGGTTCAAAGGGTGAGGGAGCTCAAGTAATTGAGAATCTCCTGAAAACAGCAAAAACAGATAAAGTACAAACCGTCGAAAATGCAAATAGGAATTAGCACAGGTCGCTCTGAATGGTCGTGCAAGAGAGGAATTCCATAGCAAGAAGACAGAAACGACATATTCGCTCAATCAGAGAAAAGTTGCATACGTTTTCGAACAAGAGCTGCTTTTTTGCAACGCACCTTGAGCCTGTTTGTTTGAAATGTCTGCCATTAGTAGCGTCCTCAACAGTTTTTCAGATGGGAGTCCCCTCAGTTCTTCAAGACTGGCCTGGTCGAGTTCTTCGCTCATGAAAGTCAAAGAAATAACTCTCCAGTGCGAAGAAGGAAGAGAAGGATCCTTTCCGCCTTTGCTGTTCTCAGCCACCACGCGTTCCACTTCGGGCAGGTTGACGCTGCTCTGGGCGAAAAGTGCCAAGTAGGGGAGAGAGGTGAGATTTACGCTCTTGCTGGCCTCCATTGACAGCAAATCATTCGAGTAATGCCATATTTGCATTTCTATC